TTAAGTCTTACTGCTTAAGTTTTTTTAGTGTCGGTCTACAATAGTGATTTAAGCTCTAAGCCTTAAGAAATTGACCAATCACGATCAAGTATGAGGAGAATACTCGACTGTGATTAGTCAATTTCTTAAGGCTTAGAGCTTAAATCACTATTGTAGACCGGCACTAAGCGAGTTGGCCAACAACTCCCATCTTTTAAAGCTTAGAGCTTGAGGCTAGGATCGATGTAATTTTTCTCTTAAAACAAAGGCTAAATCTTAAATCACCTATTCTAGACCAGCACTTATGCGTATAGAAAGGCGAGACGCGTTGGCCAATCAACCTTACGCTCTTACGGACAAGCTGTAAATCGAGTAGCTATTGCATATAATACTTTTTTTATTTATAAAATATACAATATTTCATTTATATGCTTTATAAAATAAAGATGAATAAATTAATTTATTATCATGTAGGAAAACAAGAATAGAAAAAATAAAATTTGAACAAATAAAAAAATATAATAATGGGAATGAAAGAATACAATAAAGAACAAGCAGAGAAAGAGAAGAGAGAGAGAACGAATAAGGAGCAAACGAGATAGCTAACATGAAAGACTTCCGAAGTTTCGTTCGCGAGGCTCGCTTTATCTATAATCTCTCGCGTTATATATCGTTACTGTAAAATTTTTGTTTTTCGCGCTTATTGATCCGAAAATAATTACAATGAATTAATGATATTTTACCGATTAAAATAATACCAAACACGATACAAATCGGATAATTTTTAATCAATTATGTAATTAAAATTATGATTACTTATTTCATTAAAAATATGTTATCAACCGTTCCTTATAAACTCTGTACTATATAGGCTAGATGGCATTGCCGAAGCCTCTCTTTTTCTTCCAATAAAAAAAAAAAAAAAATTAATGATGTCTCGTCGGTGTCCGTGATTTACATACACATATGTTTAAATTATAGTTAAAATTATACGTGCAATTAAATATTGTATGATGATCAATAATAATATAGATAACAGAGTGAATAAATAGACAATATGTAAGACACGGGTGCCTGTTAGACTTTGTGAGATTTGAGTGAAGCGAGGGGGGGATTTAAGGCGGGAGGAGGCACGAACCAAGCATCCATCTCTTCCGTGGCAGCGGCACTCTACGTGCGAGCGAGAGAGAACGCAAGGGGCACGAAACAGAGTATGTCCTTTTCTACGTGGGCATCGGCCCCCACTCCTTAAATAAAGGCAAACGCTCGGTCTAGATATACTATGTCTATGCTGGCGACAGCCAATGGCAAGGACAATTCTGGTGAAAAGTGCAATTCTCATAGGCTATCGCTCGCTAACGACAACGATAACCGTCGCTAAGATGTTTAGGGAATCCTGCTATTGTCCGTCCTTATATTCAAGATCGTCTTAAGTATATTTCGTTTATCATATTAGCGGGATAGAGAAATAGCATGATTGTCAATTCTTGTTTGACATTACATTATCTTTTAACAGTCTTAATCGTAGACAATTATATTATATATTCATAGACAATTATATTATCTTTCTTCAATTGTACCGATATCGCGTAAGCACATACGAGTACTGGTATATGAAAGCATATATATAAATAATACATACAGAGGTCTCCATCGTCTCTCCTGTCGACCCTTAACTGGCGACCATAGACATAGTATATCTAGACCGAGTGTTGAGGAGTGGGGGCCGATGCCCACGTAGAAAAGGACATACTCAGAATCCTGCTACTGATTGGTCAATTCAATGCTATTCCACGAGTAGGATTTCCGAACACATTTAAACGGGTATGCGTCGATGTCGTACGTCACATCCAGCATCCAGCTGTCGTGATCGACGCGAACAGATGGACATATACTGGATTGGGAGCGCCGAGTCATAATCAGCGAAACGGCTGGTCGGGACGCAGGACGATCCGCGGGAAGCTGTGACCTTTTGAAATGGCCACCGCGGGCTGCTGTATCGGGGCGTTTTTGGTGATATTCTCGTTGCTAATGAAGACAGGTGAGGTCAACGCACGATTACATTGCGACAAGTATGTATATTGTTACCGCCGTCCTGGGCGGGGCATATATTAACCCTTTCTCACTTTCAATTTTTTTCGTGTGTATCACGAATGGGCGGGAAACTTGAGCGAAATGTAAAAGATAAGCGTGCGAAAAAGCCTTTATTTTCACTTTACGTAAAAATAAATATTTCGAGAAATACAATTTATCATGAGGTTTATCAATTTTGTCAGGAAAATGATTACAGGAAGAGAAAGAGAGAGAGAGAAAATATAAAAATATGTAGAAGAGAAATGTGCTTATTATTTTCTTTCATAGAGAGAATTGTATTTGTCATTGTCATCATGCCAAAGTGCAATATATGATTATTATATCAGTGTGTGAAATCATAAATAATAACAGCAACAATAAATTATAAATTATACATATTCTAATAGGCAAGATACTTGATATAATAAATGGAGATAAGAAGCAATTAAGAAAACCAAATAGTAAAATTTATAGTTGCTTTCCATTTACATCAAGACTCGGATAATTCTCACTTGTGACGTCATAACTCAGTTGAATGCACGTTCCTTTTGATGCTAGCAAGTGAGATTTAACTGAGTTTTTACGTGGTTTCTGCACACGATCGAGACTGTGTGCTTTAGTGAGTCTAATAGACTCACATTAAAAGTGAGATTATGAATCTGTATTGTTATGTGATAGCTTTTTGTTACCAAAATAAGCAGATCAATGACGTCATTGTCTGAGTATGAAATACTCACATAACTATCTCAGTATCACTTGAGTGCAAATGGAAAGCAACATATATTTCATTTGCTATTGATATTGGTAATTTTACACAAATTCATAGTCTATTTATTTCGATGATATAACTAAAACAACTTTGTATGCACTGTTCCAGTTATAAATAAACTTAACTTCCATTAAATATATTTATAATAAAGTCAACATGCAAAGATGAACTTCAATTGAATGGAATAAACATGAAGATTTACAGTTTACAATCATGGAATTTATATAGTATTCATGACATTTATTCTTCATTCATTTAACGCAACAAAATCACACAGAATCCATTGCACAGTCTGATAAATAATATTTTTATTCAGGACATAGCATCCAGTGCTATCAATGTACCAGCATCAACAACGAGGATCCTTTTCAATGTAATGAATTTCTAACAAGCGACGTGGATCTCCAGCCGGAATCGTGCGACGATGTTTACGGAGCGCGATATTGCGTTAAGCATGTAGGCCGTTTCGAGGGTAAACAGAGTAGCGAAGATATTTTGCACAATCTTCTTGGCTTGGGAATCTAACACCGGCAATGCAGGGGAAATTAATTAGAATCATATGCAGCAGATCATACACAGATTAAGAACGGGCACGCCGGCGATTCTGTATTTAACTGTATTAAATTCTTTTCAGATTTTTTCGCTGCTCCGGAACAATGCTTACACTTGTGTGAGATCTTGGAACGCGTCCACAAATCGCCTATAAGCGATTTTTTTGATACATATACGCGCTTTATCTTATAATGATAAGACCTCCTCATAAATTGTGTTCCAATGATCCAGCACATGTATAAAACACATTTACTAATCCAAACTATTTTTCTATCATTATCAATCATTATATAACATGTAGATCATCATTTGTGTAGGGGCATGCAGTTAAGAGGGAGACTTATCTATTATTTTATGATACATAATTGGAAAATGCTCACATATAACATCAATCACATGTAATTGATCGGAAATTTAATCATTGTTTTCTTAATTAATTAAGCAATTACCTTGGATTGCTATCAATGCGCATCAGAGGATGAATGGAAATGCATGGACAATGGATTGGTTAAAAGTGCCTTGGTGCCGACAAATTGTAGTCATGTTTATGGCGCGCGTTATTGCGTCAAATCAATCGGCCGTTTCGGAGGTTTTTATATCATGTTTCAGCATTCATTCATGTCAAGTGTGCACGAGTGATTTTCCCTTAAGTAGTATTATTTTTCGAAGCAGAAAGAAATTTTTCCGAATTTTAATCATTTTGTAATATTTGGTTCTAGTTTCAGAAATTTCAAGATTAAAGTATACTAAGAAGTTTACGGAATTTACAATATTTTTAAAAATATATTCCTTCAAGTATTGATCTTCTGCCATATTCTCTGCTCTGAAAAATGTGTGATAATTACTTTATTATGCATCTTCTTTTTGGACATTGGAAATAATTTAATAAAAAAAAATCGGTTTTTCACTGTTGAAAGAAATCGATGATTAATATTTTTCTGCTTTAAAAATATATGAATTATTGTACAAAATGTGTGTAAAGGATCCATAATCTCTTCACTTCTCTGTATGTCACGACCATGGCTATCACTTGCTTTGTAAAATATGCACAAATTCCATTCATCTCTCCATTTTCAGTAGTATTTCATTTTTCTTCATCACTGATTAGAGCGTGCCTTTCTCCATAGCATTAAACTGCTTCACTTTGATATCAATTCATATCAATTAGATAATACAGAATAGAACTTTTGTATTATCTAAATTAACAATAAGACATAAATGCTCAGATAATAGAACAGTTGCTTCCTAGATACTGCTTCAAAACATAATAGCTTCTATCTAAAGAAATTTGTCTCAATCTCTATTTAAAAAAAAAGAATGTTTACTCTTAAACTAGTACCCATTATATTAACATTGTATTCAAAAATAGGTGGTATCGGTACAAAGCGATTTTGTTCAGCTGTCGACATGGGAAACTACTGCGATTACGTGAAGCAGCCGGGTGATAAGTTGACCTATCGTACTTGCGTTTACACGTGTACTGGTCACGGATGCAATCCAGCAACATCTTCCATGCCGAGTGCAACACACACATGGATTATGCCTGTAGGTTTACTGGTTGTCTGGAGAATGATGTTTCACAGGTAGAAGATTCTCAACATTTTTTAAAGCCTTGATGGCTACTCAGTCTGATGAATTTGTTGTTCACTGTAATCGATGAATCTCTTACTTAAGATTTTAATACTTAAATTTTATTTCATTGCAACTTGTTTATCTATACCTATTTCAAAAATTGCGCAACTCTTATATTATAGTACAAAGACTCTGATAAATAATTTTCCCATATCACATAATGTCAGGGAAAATGTTTTATAAGTTTTTATTTACACTTTTTAATATATTTTTTATGACTTGAATTTAATATTTCAATTTTAAGCCAGTAGTTATATTTGTATATTTTATATATTTAATATCTATATTCTTCATATATATATTTAATAGATATTAGATACTAGCAAAATAATATCACACTAGCGATAATACATATCAAAGTGACTATATCCGTCTATTTGACCAAAGTGACTGCATCCGTCTATTTGACCAAAGTGATTGTATCTGTCCATTTGACTTATAAGTAAAAAAAATGCTAAAAGAGCATTATATAATTTAACAATACATATAATTTATTAGAGAAAGATATATGTTGCAAATATCAAATTTTGAAATAAACAAAATATTTGTGCATCATGTACTATACTAATAATAAAATTGTTTGCATATATACTGATATGATTAAATATTCTTGTTTATTTTATCATGAAAGTTGCCATATATCATACATACAATATTTTCTCCAATATTTTTGTATATAAATTTGTCGAACAGGTATGCGCTGGCAATAAATTTATCTGTAATATGCAAGATAATAAAGCTCTTTGGTATTTTTTTCTGTTTGGTATAAGATCGTGTGTGGTTGGATCTTAATAATATATATATATATATATTCGATCGATATATAAATATTACATATAAATTCTGATACAGGCGCATATTGTGCGCCACAATATTGCATTATAAGCATTTATAATTCATAGCAAAATTCATAAATCTCTTGCATTGTATAATATCTATCATGAACATGAATAGTTATCTTTTTTATATATCATGAAAATTGCTTTGGCTATAAATGTCGAAAATATATACTTATATAAACTATACTTTGCAATACGTATTTTTTTATACTGCCTGTAAAATGTACTGCCTAATACAACACATGTAACTCTGCTCTCTAATGATGAATGATAGGTGTGCGTATTTAGAAGAACGTCTCAACGAAATGTATTATTGGCGTGTATATTAAATCTACAGTTACAAGTAAACAACTAGTGAAGAAAGACTAGGGAATGCTACGTCACATGTTGCTGTATCAGCAAGTTTCAGGACTTATATTTACTATGTTCACACTATGCGATTAACGAAATCTTACACTCACTTGATCACAAGCGATATGTGAAGTGTAGCATTCAGGTACTATATTTATCGATCCACAATAAAATTGCACACACTGTATGAAAAATACATATATAAATGTATAAATCATTACATGATTTGATTATTGTTCTTAAGCAGAAATATAATTCCTTACGGTTTTTGCAACCACAAGATTAATGCTAGAAATATTCTAATACATTTGCTAGCATACCGTTTCTTTAAGCAAATTCGACTGAAATTAAACCCACATCGAGTATAAATGCCGCCTTTCTTAAAAATATATATATGCAACTTTTCTATCATGGCATTGATTGTACATGATTTAATGATCTTGCACGCACATATATTACTGCACATTTACTACATAAGAAGGAATTTTAAGATAAAATCTTCGAAATTATCGGAATTAAGTATAATAAATTTATCGTTGCATAAGTTTGAAGATCTTATTGCCATCGACATTACGGCAGCGTAGATGGCAGTGAAAGATATATGCAATAGCAAAATGCTTAATATATTAATATGCTATCCTACTTGTACGTAATACGCCACAGTAGCATTATAGAACATTGATGCGTAACATGACATTTATCTGTAATAGATCAGCAACAAAATTAATTTTATTCTTTGCAAAGATAAATTCAAATAAAAAGAATTTATAACATACATGATAATATGTAAAGAAATACTGTCTTCTACGAAATTTCTTTCTTCTAAAGATTGTGTGTAGTAATATATTAAATAATATATTAAATAACCAATAAACATGAAAGAGAGCAATAAAAAAAATAAACAAATGATTAACAGACTAGTATCAACATCGTATCAGTATCGTTCTCAGAAAAAGTACAATGTGTCATCAAACTATAATATTATATATGAATTATTCATTCGTCAAAGGATACTGTGCTTTCCTTAATTTTTTAATCGTGTACAAATCCTTATGTAGATATACATACATATATCCAACTTACGCATCCAGCTATGTGTGAACAGGTACGATTTTCACGTAACAAATGCAGCCTCTGCTTTCTCTGATCCCTTGTGGTCAATATCAACGCGACAAGTTTTATTCTATATAAAAATTGTAGACTAACAGAAAGTCAGTCAGAATTATTCTGTGCGAATATGTCTTTGTGTATATAAATATCATAGAGCTAAAATGTCTCAAGCATGTTGGTAAAAATTTCTCAAAAGCTTAGGCTTTTTCTATAAATTGTTAGTAGTGCACATATATTCTACAGATTTTAAGTAACTGAATGCTAACCATAGTTTAGCAGGAAAGCTGTGCAAGAGTCTTACTTAAAGCCAGTGTCGAAGCGAATTTGCTGCAGCTGTTATTTGTAAGCTTTATTGGCGCTGCAATTTTCGTATTTGGTCCTCTAATTCCTTGACGCGCAGTTGACTATTACCAAGCTGCCGTCGTACTAGCCTCAATTCGTCGGTTTGACGAGCAAATGCTAATCGAAGTTCCGCTTCATTGTTTGGGATATCCACATTCTCCATAACTTTATTGTCATTAAGCGGAGACGATATAATATTCTTCTAATAGAAAAAGATATTGTCAAATATAAATTATAACATAATTCTAAATCATATGCTATATTCGTACCTGCATAGCGACATTTCCAAACTTCTGCTGTAGTTGTTGAAACTTTGTGCTTTGATTACTAGATGTCTTCTGACTTTTTTCCGACATGTCGTGTAATTCCACCGGTCTATAATCCGGTATGGTCTCGGTAGACAGAAACGCGAATTTCTTCTTGTTATTCAGATCAGTAGTCTGAGGTAATTGCGGTTTGTATATTCGTGGCTTATGCGTCGAGATGCTTCCTCCTGATAAAGTGCACAATATTCATTAACATGATTGTTCGCTAAAATTATATTGTTGCATATAAAAGGTATCTTATTTTAACTGATTCATCTAAAAATATTGTCGTTAGATATGCTCGAAACCATTAAATTTTTATCTGCAACATTTTTCGATTTCACCAATAATTTTAAAGATATTCATGTGCGTCATTTAAAATGGGATATCCTGTATACATCATATAGCATTAATTTAAAAAATATGAAAAACCTGTTTTAAGAGAGATTAATATTGGCGGATTATTCATGCCGCTGATCCAATCTCTAGCCGACAGTGCGGGACACGTTCCGATTGTATCAGGGTATAGATCTTCTTGGAATTGATCACTCTGAAATATAATATAATACAGCTTTTAATCGATAGAGCTTTAAAAGAAATAATTCAGATTCTTATTATAACATTATATTAGATCTATGAAAAAAAACAACGTAACATTAGAAATATGAACTTGCCTTTCGAGGTACTATCATCGAGATTGGTTCACACATTCCGCGAGTCGCATGCAGCTTGTAAAATCTGAACACCTCACATATAGCAGTATTGATGCCTCTTTTTGGCATTACGCCTAATCCTCTTTGAGGATTTCCAGATATAAATTGACTAAGGTAATACAACCAAGGTGCTTCGTTAACTACTTCGTAATAGCGAATATTACCATCGCCCTGCAAAAAAATAATAATGGAGTCTTAAATGGTTCATATTGTATACATATTTTATATTTTTACCTTTCCTGCTAAGAACACCATGTTGGTATCGTTATCGTAAAATGGGAAGACCACCCCACTCGAGGAATCTATCGTTTCACATATTAGTGGGACAGTTAGATCATGTTGACTCCATATTGCGTACTGTCGGTCCGAATGTCTGCTAAATCCAGTAGTCAAGAGACGTCCAGAACTACCGAGGAATACAACCTTGCTCGCTTTAGTACCGGCATGACATACCCCTTCCTATTCGATATGATTGATGTTATTTATAATACGAAAAACTTTATTTTATAATTTAAAAACAAATTTTAATTTGTAAAAATAAATATTATGTATTTTTTTATATTATAACAGACTTTTTATTATACACAATATTTCAAAAAAGAGGTTCAGGTTTCTTTTACAGAGCTTTGTCACAAGTGTTTGTACTTACCGAAACGACGATACCGGATCTTGGTTCGAAAACGCGCAATTTTTTATCCTTGCACGTTGTTGCCAACAAACTGCCATCGCGATTCAAGGATATACTGTAGATTACATCGGGATGCCTGTCGATGACACTCACTGCCTCGCATCTGTTTACATCCCATACGATAACAAGATGATCGAAGCCGGCGCTAAAGAGCACATTCTCCGCTACCGGATGCCATTCGATATAAGCGACGCGTCGTTTGTGCCCTTGTAACTCCACCAACCATTCAGTCAAATTTCTCGACAATCCGCCATCGGGTACATGCCACAATTTTATCTAGATAAAGACACAAATGGACGCATTCAATATTTTCAATCTATAGTTTGCGTAAATTTCCCGTTCATGGAAAGATTCTTTTCAATCCGGTATGCAAAACGTTTCTTACAGTGCAATCATCGGAACAGGATGCAATGATGTTGTCATTAAATGGATTCCATTTGATGTCCAAAACAGGACCGGTATGTCCAGTTACTCGACTGGCATTGAAGTCGAGTCGTCCGGTCTGTAAAATACAATAAAATAATAAAACGAATATACTATGATAATATTAATAAATACGCGATGAAACTTATGATTAATTAATCATGAATAGCCATTATATTTAAGATGCATGCTAGTTTTTTTTATCAATACTGATGCCTGGGATAATCTAATTGTATTTCTTGACCATACATTATATAATACAGCCTTTTTTCCAAGTAGGACAAGAATCAATAAATCGATGT